TTAGAATGAATCTCAGAATCCTTTTGTTAAGAGCTTCTATTTTTGTGTTTGTTTGTGTTAACTTGTGAGAATCGTTACAAGCTTGTTGAATGGAAATTATAAAGAAAATCTAATGACTAGATTTTCTACAAATAAACAAAACCGATTTTAAAGGCCTGTTTATATTTACTCATGTTGCCATGGAAACAGCACATACGTCAGCTTAACCATCAAAAAACCAAAGTTTGTGTTGTTAACTTGTTTGCTGCAATTTTTGACGACCGAGGGATCAAGGGTTTTAGAGAAAAAGGTGAATGAAACACAGGTATCAAAAACTGTGTCCAGCCACCTTAAGGAGCTGGATTTGTATTCCAGAAGTCTCGGGTTCAAATCCTTATTCCTGCCACTGGATGGATTTGTGTTCGGTGGTACCAAATTTAACTTCCCTATGCGTTGTGAATAACCAATTGGTCAGACTCCAACCAGTTGAGATTTTTACAAGTTTTCAGTTCTATTTACAATATTTGTTTCTCGATTTATAGTGCCCCCATTTAGCCTAGCAGTTTTAATAGTGATTTATTGATTTATCGATTTTTATTTAAGAAAGAAACCATTTTTTTTATTATTTTTTTTTATTCGAGACAATAGCACAGATGCTGTGAAACCAAATCTCTCGCCTTCCTTTCCACTCGCCATACTTCGCACTGCTCGCCAACTAAGCAAAAAGTTGAAACTGGCTAAGATGTGCGACAAGTCAATTGGATTGTATTTGCTAATATCTTCTACTCTGCTGTGATTCTGCTTGCAATCTCGCCGAGGGTAATACCTTGATTTTAGATTGAGAGGCACAAGAGCAACTCTTATCTCGATTGAACATCATCAAATTATACACAATTTACCCAATTCCAGATGCCAAGTGCCCAGGGGTGTCCAGGATAAGCTAAGGAAGAAAACTGTTACAGTTTGTACTTGATCAACATTCAGCGTATAATTACCACTCACCTTTGCGCTTGAGGTTGCAAGCCTGGTTGCAAACCTCTCTGCTGCGGAGCCTGCTGAAAGAAAGACTGTTGTTGCTGCTGCTGTGTGGATTGACCGAACATCATTGTAGGCTGCTGACTCGGTAAATACTGCTGCTGCTGCTGCTGCTGCTGTTGTTGTTGTTGCTGCTGCTGCTGCTGCTGTAGCATTTGCATCTTCTTTTGCATGGCTTGACTAGAAGGTTTAGGAGGACGCTTCCGTTGCTTGGTTGTCTTGGGCTTGGTCTGTTTGCTATCTGGTACAGGTACCTGGTTCGTGGTAAGGTTGGGCTGCACGTTGAGAACTGAGGACATGTTAACAGCCGAAGGAATTGGTGCAGCAATCAAAGGTACAGCGCCTGTGATGAGACAAGATAAACAAGTTGGAAATGATTTTCTAACACAGCTAGCGTCGTCTCGATTGAAATTCCGAAGAACGGAACCTTCAAGGTATTTGTTAAACAAGCACTTGTGCTCCAAATGAGTGTATGGGAAAACAGATGTTCGGGAAAACAGTACCACTTATGTGCCGCGCATGACTACCACGCGTGTGTATGGCACGTTATCTATTGAAAAATCCTTAATGCACATGCATCCATCTTCAATTTATGCATGTCACTATTTCCAAAACACTCATACCTTTATCAGCTGGCGTCTGAGGAGTGGACGGTTGGCTGGCTCTCTCCCCCACTGCAGCCTCTGTTTCCGTTCTATCTTCTTCCTCGTCATGCTCGTCCTCCTTGTCAGGAGCGGGACTAAGGAAGTAACTAAGGGGACGCCGCCTCGGGTGCGTATGGTGCAGTAGTCTTCGAAAATCCTGCTCGTACCTCAATGGTTTACGCTCAATCCGGACGGCACCGAACCATGCCCATGACAGGGGTGATGGGTTTTTGTACCCCTCCATGAGGTCCCACGCACTGATTCTTTGTTTGCCAGTTATTTGTAATCCCTGAATAAAAGATCAAAGTGGCTATGAGCCACTCAATTTAGCAGATAGGTCATCTGTAAACTGGGGCAATTTTGATGCCACTGAACTGAGTTTCTGATCGGTAGGTCATGTATCATTTATATATCGAGCTAGTAATTTAAACAAGACAAGTCCGAGGATTGTAAACATTGTTGAAAACCAAGGTTTGGTTTATTACAATGGAAAAAATTGAAACATTTTGGCTCTATTTCAGAGTCATGTAGTTAGATCAAAACAAATGGACAGCTTATATATCAAGGCTAATTAGGCGTATAAACAAGCAATGACATGACATGTTAAAAATGCAATATTGAAAAAGGGAAAGTGAAGAAACGACAACGACTAGAAAAAAGATCGAATAATGTCACTCATGAGAGAAATAAAGCAGAGATTCGACATGTTAAACCCGATGTGAAATCTCGGACGTCTTTCCACTGTTGTGTTTTCATCTGCGCTGGCTAATTAGTGGTTTGAAACAAAAGCCCTGCCCCGCTTGTAATGATTGAGTGGATTCTGTGATTCTGCGGGTTTGAGCTGCTCATTCCCAACAGTTATTCTTTCATTGCTTTTGGGAGACGTGTTATGCCATTATTTCTGTCATTTACTTTTCGTAGGGCACTTTGCATAACTGTACCATGATCGTCAAACTATTCGATGTACAGTACATGTACGAAATCACCCCCACGCCAATAGAAGACTTAAAATAATTTCCTAATAACAAAAACGAATTAGAAGATCAGAATGTAACACTGATCGTGTCTATACAAGTGATGATCAATCGTGTTTGCAACTGAAAAACAAATGTAACTCTATAACAGAAATATACCTGGCTACTACTTCCACCCCCAGGAGGGAGCTTGTCTGCGACATTCTGTCCGGGGTTCCCAGGTGTCTCTTTGACCGGCGAGACAGTAAAGACGTTATGTGAGAGGGGAGGAAGGGGCAAGAGCTGCTTACACTGCTGCATGATGTCAACAGTGCTTTTTCCAGCAAGCTCACGCTGGAAAAAAAGAAGAATTTGTCTCTCGTTAGCATGCATAATCTCCTAATAGCAAGTAACTGAAGGATGCTCGCAAAGGAAATTCAAAGCACGTTACAAAGCAAGCCTTCTAACGCAATAGTATAAGAAAATACTACTGGTGCAATTCGTTCGTTACATGAAGTGATCATTATATGGCTTCTTTTAAAGGGTACACAAAACTTGCGTACGGGTCTGGCAAAAATTTAAGTAGCGAAGAGTCCCCAAAACGACTCCAGCATCATTAACGCCTTGTCACACAATATATAATTAACATAGCGTCTGAAAAGGGTGCAAATAGCGACCGACCTCGGGCTTCTTGTCTTTTTTTTTTTTTTTTTTTTAGTTTGGACGGTTAAATATTCTTTAATTACTTACGAGTAGTGGGGACATGAAACTAACTCTGTCTGAGTAATACAATCAGGGTTGGTATTTAACTCACGTNTTTTTTTTTTTTTTTTTTTTTTCTTAGTTTGGGTTTGTACATAAATTCTCTTATATCATCGTTCGGGTTAAGTGTTGTCAAGTTCAGGCTCAAAAAAAGGATGAACACACCTTAAGCTTTTTGAAAAGAGTGAAGGCCGCTTTCCGGCTCTCCTCAGCTGACTGTCCATGAGTTGACTCCGTGTTAGAAACAACGCTGATCAGTACTGACACCATATCCAGTACATTTGTCAATAACTCCCTGCAAGAAAAGCAGTGAACTTGATTAAAAGCAACGATTTAAAACAGTGCAACTGTTCGTTGCTGTTGTGCTTATTGTAATGCTTACGTCATGGCGATTCCTGGTTCCGTAAACACAACAAGAAGTAGTGGGTTCGTTTGTCATTGTCACTATGTAATTAAAAAGTGTCGATGTTATCCACACCGGCTTGTCATATCCTTATAAGTTATGCTCATACTTGTGTCTATGCCGTTAGTGAAAATTAACTTTAAGGGTAAGTTAGCCTTCCATTGCCATTGTCGATTGACTAATTAAATTATGAAGAAATGTGACTTACTTTTTTGTAGGCAGTGAGTCAGCGGTGATTGTTCCAGAACTTACAAGCTGGAACAAAAGCGTGGCCCAGTCACTTGACAGTTGAGTGCTGCGCTGAATCGTGTCAAACATGGCACCAAGCTGTGAAGAAAACATACCTCGAAATAACTGGTATTCCGCATATAGCTTAGTTGGTCACTGCGAACACCATAAGTTGGTTTTGTTTATTTCATTTTATTTTTTTTTGTTGTTGTTGCTGTTGCATGTAGCAATTTTGACAGTGTACATAGTGCAAAATAATAAAATCTTCTTCAATCCAGTCCAGTCCAGTCCAATCTACCCAGTCAGAGTAAACATGCTGTGTTCTCATCTAATCAGGAGCACAGCTTAAACCATTGGTAACTATTTGATTTACCTGTATTTCCCGGCAATTATCACCGGTTGCATGTCTTCGTTAGAGTTCTGGTTCTAATAGACCAATTTCGATATATTAAAATTCAGCCTAACACAATAGACCTCAGTAAGAGGCTCAGGGGAATAAACCCCACAAACTCTGTAGTTATTCCCCGAAGCCTCGTATTGAGGTCTATTGCTTTAGGGTGAATTTTAATCTATCGAAATTGTCCTATTGGTTTATTACTTTTCGTTGTGATGGACCAGTCAAACAGCGTTACAACCCTTTGTTATTTCCTAACTTGCACGAGTATTTCTACTTGACAAGATAAATAAAGACTGGCAGGCCACGAGAAAAAAAGGATTTGAATATCTCCACACTTAAGTTTTAAGTTAAAACAAATTCCGTCAAGGTAGAATGTGTACGAAGCAAAAGAAAGTAAAACTTTCAGAACTATCCTGTCCTAACTATCCATTCTGGACCGTTTTTCATACCATTTGGTTTTTATTTTGTTTTACGTTATTCTATTTTTTCTCATGCAAAAGAATGACCAAACTAACCAGGCTAATTCGCAAGTGCAAAGCCTCTTGCAGAACCTCTTTGCTTTTTAAATCCACCGGACATCTCTCCTGTATGAAAATACGACAAACAACGTTCACCGTTAGATGTGCTACGCAGTCTATCAAGTAAAGCCAGAAATATCATAAATGTTATTGTTTAAAAAAAAAGAAAGAACTGCGCAACAGCTTTAGGGTCGATTTATTTCTGAAAGGACACTTTCACTTTCACAGTAGATGCAATAAGGAGGCAAGGTACTTTAGATGCCAACCTATTCCAACATCTCTCACAGCTCGAATGGATGGAAATACACGCACACACCTATGTGCACGCGCGACACGTACACAAGCACACGAGTACATGGTTACTTGGCAACAACATCCAAGGGTGCAAAACCGCCGAAACAGAAATAGCAATGAGATTAAAATGTCTCGGGACAGGTCGGGCTGCAAACCTCGGCAGGAGCGGCCAGTAGCTGAGTTAGCTGACGGTGTATTGACGATAGAAGTCCTTCCCTCTGGTCTTCTTGTCCCTTCAGACATGCAAGTACCAATGACAGGAACGGCTGCGTATGAACCAGGGTTGGCCTGAAAGGAATAAGAATACAATGGTTACAGTGCCAGTCTTAGAAATTGTTGCTTCCTTGTTGGTAAATTAACGCTCTTATCAGCTAGATGTTCAAGATCTGTTATACCAAATCTGCTGTCGGTACCCAAAGAATATCTGCTTGTTGCCTAGGAGCCCTTTCAGTCCCAAAAGACCCTTTCCACTCAGCCAAAAATTATGGAACTCCACCCATCCCGAAAACATTTGACAGCGTACATCTCAGGAGGCTTTTGAACTACCTTTTAAATTAACAATGTTACTAAACGATTTCACGCAAAGGGCTAGTGAAATGAACGAATCTGGCGCGGCTATCCAATGAAGAGAGAACAATCCTTGTAATTTAATTTCTTACACAGATGACTTTGCAGAGTGCTCCTTCCACCACTGTTTCGTGTCCAGTACTTCTCCAGCAGCTTTTAGTAGGCGGCCTTGTACCGAGTTGGACAGTTTAGAAATTAAAGGAGCAACTAGCCACTCTGGCCCTTTTATCACCACGGACTTTTGGTTACTATGGGCCGTTGCCAAAGGGGTGGTGTCATGCCGCTGTACGAAGACACTCATGGCGCTGGTGGCAATTGCGTCTAGAAGAGGTCCGGTCTCCTGGAGGACGTTTTGGGAATTCAATTAGTATCATTCCAAAGGGCAACTTTCACTGACAAATTAGTAGACGTGTAATGTACCTCTTTAGAAGCCTGTTTAATCATCAGCTGCAACTCCAGCCACGATTTTCTCAAAGACCACTGATCCAAGTTCTGCGTAAAACAAGATTAAAAGTGAGTTCGTAAGAGGTACATTAGCCTAAAAGAACCTTACATTTGAATCTTGTCATTTCCTTCAGTGAACTTGTTGGATTCTGTGTTCAAGAATTGGGTCTTAAGGTTTTGACGATGTCAGTCGACGAGCCGTAAACAAGTTATCTCTCGCTTTGTTTGACTTGCACAAGGACTATAATATCAGAAACGCATTCTTTTCTTCAGATCTTCCCGTAAACCTTTATCGTTTGTCATATGTTATCTTTTTGTCATATCATTTCTGTGAA